TGTATATTGCATATTATATTCTACGTTTCTTTAAATGTTGCAAATATAACAATTCTCAAGCTGTCAGAGCCCTATCGATGCACGAATCCAATTTTCTCGCGAAGATTAGAATGTGAGCATAGGTCGCTGAAACCTGACAGATTGATCAAGTTTGTTTGCACGGTCATCCCTGTATTGTTCTAGGCGGCCAGTCCAGCTTGCACGGAGCTCGAAACGATAGTCTGCGACTGGTTCGGTAATTCAATATTATCCCGTTAAATATCAATTGAATATATATGAAATATATTACAAGAATTGTGTACTAAATTTCAGGCAAAGCCATTGGTTTGCCGACGGACTTTCTTTACTTTAGCCCCGGTAGCAAAGGCGGTGGTGTGATACAAGTAAATACTTCGATCTTTCGAAGAGAATCAACCCTTTCGCTGTTAATTAAGAACGTGTACTCTTTTCTTTTCTACTTCCAAAGACACTTCCAACGTTGTCTGCGTCTGCGATAAATTTCGAAGCAAGGAATGCACAATCCTTTTCTAAGCGTTCTGCACGATGTACAGACTTATTAATTGTCAAAGGGTCGAACTTTCTTTTTCAGTCAAATTCAATGAAATAAAACAAGTTGTACAAATTGTAGGCAACGAACTAATCGTTAAACGAATTATAGGGTTCGGCTTCGGAGTGTATTTTAGTGTGTATGCTGGCAGCAAGGGCGCAAGCAATTGCCAGATTAAAAGAATCACCTGCTCACGCACATTTGGACGAAACTGCTCTATTAGGAAAGTTGATGGCTTATTGCAGTCGTGAAAGTCACAGCTGCGTAGAGAAAGACGCGATGATTTGCTTCGTGAAATTGAGAATTTTGGAGCCCGATGACAAAAGCGTCCTTCGTGGCGAAACTTTACGCCAGGTAATGTAATACAATCATCTAATACATCAACATAACTTTTTAGCTTCCATTTTTTTTTTTTCTCCTATTAACTTGGTAAAATTGCACTTACCACCGCCACGCGTTTCCAACCAATTCATATGCACGAATGACGGATAATATGCAAATACGCGTTGATTTCGATCGATAGCTTCCTTCTTCATCGTCGTCCCTTTTTTCCGTCAGGCAATCGAGGCTGACACAGCCGAAGGATACATCCCTTTCTTCGTCTCCACTACTCTGGGCACGACTGCTTGCTGTTCCTTCGACAATCTCAGAGAAATCGGCCCAGTTTGTAAAAAATACTCCGGCGTAAGACGATCGACAATTTCCAAGAGAGAGATCTATTCATTATTCGTACGTTCGTTCAATCACGATATTTTCGTTGTCGCTCCCCCTCTCGATAGGTATGGTTACACGTGGACGCAGCTTACGCAGGCAACTCGTTCATTTGCCCGGAATTGAAGTACCTGATGGCTGGCATCGAGTACGCGGACTCTTTCAATACCAACACGAACAAATTCTTGTTGACGAACTTCGATTGTTCCTGCCTTTGGGTTCGCGATAGATTCAAGCTGACCGGTGCGCTCGTCGTCGATCCGCTTTACCTCCAGCACACTCACGCGGATACAGCCATCGATTACAGGTATTATCGATTCCATCGACGTTGTTTATTTCATTAAAAAAGGCAAAGTAGGGTGGGCGAGTCGTACGAATTTCGGTCGTCGGAAAGTATTTTAGAATTTTGCCGATTAACTCCACGAAACCAAAACAAAAAAAAATAGAGTAGAATTTATATTTCGTTATATTTATTGTGACTTCAGATCATTTGTATTGTTCGTTAAAAATAATATTAATGATCGTTACATTAAGCTCTATTTAATTAATAATATTATCTCTATTTGGACGAGGTATCTCTCTTATCTAATTATTTCGAAGCTTCCGTCTTATTTTCAAAGAATTCCAATACCGTGCATCTTTACGTATGTAATCACGGAAGAGATTTGAAATTTATAGAAACAGAGATAAACATTATCTTTCTTTCATCTTAAGTGATATTAATTTCAATTGTTTTCTGCGCTATTTTACGCTTCCATTTTTCTACAATAACTTTTCAGAGGCAAGCCAGCTAAGAACAATTCTTATTACCAGAATATTTCTCAAAACGTGCCATTGAGAAACGAATTTACTACACTGATCTGATCACTCATTCCTATTTATTTTTCCTCTTCTTAGACACTGGAGCATACCACTGAGCCGACGATTTCGATCGTTGAAACTGTGGTTCGTGATGAGAAGCTACGGGATATTCGGTTTGCAGGCCTACATTCGGAATCACGTGCAACTGGCGAAAAGGTTCGAGGCGTTGGTGAGGAAGGACGCGAGATTCGAACTCTGTAACGAAGTTGTGGTGAGCGATCGGGAGAGACAATATGAACACGCGGAAGGGAGACTCGGGACACGCGTTCATAAAATTACCAAGTTTTATCGTGTTAATTAAAACGGTTTTCAGCTGGGTTTGGTATGCTTCCGCGCGAAAGGCACCGACAAGCTGAATCAGAAGCTCCTCAGCACTATCAACGACTCCGGGAAGCTGCATATGGTGCCCGCCCGAGTGAATCAACGTTTCACGATTCGTTTCGCGCTTGCTGCGCCGAATGCCACCGCTTCTGACGTTGGTTAGCAATATCGTCGTCGGTTGATAAGAAATCCGCTTTCTCAAAGGTTCATTCCTCGTTCATGAATTTCCGCTTTTATTTTCATGTCGTAGACATAGCGTGGAGCATAATCACGGATTATCTGGCCGAGCTGTTGGAGTCCAAGGTGAGCAGAATCTCGCCAACTGGAATTTCATTGACGTGTTTCCCCCCCCCCCCCGGTGATTGA